ATCAGAAGGGGGGAAATGTGGAATTAGACAATGGAAACCTCATTTAAAATGAAGTCAGGAGGCCAGAAAAAGGGGCTGTCAGACCCTAACTTGTCCTCAATTGTAGACCCCAACAGGAAGAAGTGTACCTTGCATTTTCCAACAGGAAGAAGCGTACCTTACTATCCCAGCAGGAGGAACGAAGATTTTCTCTTGCTCAGCAACAGCCCCGCCAATGAGAAACCACCACAATTCAGGTGACAAGAAACTGTCACCACCTGAACTCATTTTCATCCAATGGGCTCTCATTCAAAGTAGTCCCTCCCCTAACTTCCTCCTTTTTCTCTTAAAGTAACCTTCCTCTCCTTTGAATTCTGGGTTTGCCTGTGATTTTGCCATAGCCTGCGTACCCTGAATTTCAATTCTTCCATTCCCAGGTAAACCCAATTTGCTGGTAAAATAACTGCTGTTTTATTTCCAAGACCGATAACACAAAGATGAAACTAAAACATGACAGTTGTATTTACCCACTAAAAGAAGCATTCGATAATTAAGTTTTAGGTGAAAAGGGGATGGGCTTAATAGTAATAGAGATAAGAGATATTCTTGACATTTTCAGGAATAGCCTTCCAGATTATAAACACATACACATATCCTACCTACCTACCCTACCCCTCTCTCTTTATGTATAGACACACACACACACATTTGTCTGAACAATAAATATTAACAGAAGGAAATTTATCTCTCTATATAACTCACCAGTGTTTTAAAAAGAAAAGGCTCTTAAATTCCTACTGAGTTCTTACAACTGTATTACAAAATTTAAAATTTATTAAAAATTTACTTTTTAAATAAATAAAAAAATTATTGCAGAAGCATTCACTATAAAGGCAATGAATCCACTCCAAGTTATGCCGTGAAAAAATAAAATAATTTGGCAAACTCAAATTGCTCCTAAAATCCTGAATTTTAAAAAGCCCATAGTTTGGGGATCACAATTCTTACGGATTCTCTTCTTTAGAGACTCCTGTACGATGCAGACTTAGTTGGATGTGTTTAAGATCAGAAAACCATTAGAACTAATTAAGATGAAGTTGGCTTTGTTCTTCAACTTCCTGTAAAAATGCTCAACAGGAAAATTGATGCTCACAGCAAACCACAGCCATCCTGTTTCTTCAGTACAATCTTTTCGCAGCTGCACTTGCCTGTAGTTTCTATTTTATGATATAAGTCACAGTGCAACAGCTCTGTGCCCCGCCCCTGCCCCCACCACCCCGGCCTGTCATTTGGCCACTTCAGAAACTTTTAATATCTTTGCATGAAGTTTGCTTCTATTATTTTTACTCTTCCCCTCCTCAGACCGAGGCTCAGAGGGCTGCAAGCAATGAGGCAATCAGCTCTGAGGAAAAACAAAAGACTGCTCACCCCAAGAGGAAGCAAAAGGTAGAGAAAAGAAACAAGCTCTCCTTTGTAAGCAAAGCAGCAGCCTCACCCAGCCAGTTGTCACTTATTCTCAATCCGAGCTGGAGCACACCCTTTCTGCACATGGAACCCCTCATGTCTCAAAATGTATTTGCTCTTTTCTTGATCATCATTTAAGACAATAACTGAAGTGAATTCTGCTCATAGGTTGTCTTCTCAACGGTAACGGTTTGTGTCTTGCTGTATTTACAGCGTCCTTGGCTATTTCAGAAATACTTCTTGTAGAGTTCTTTGAGATAAACAGTTGGTTAAATTGGGGGGGGGGCAGGAAATGCATTTTTTAGAGAAGACATTTTGAAACATCCACAATGTCATTGCAATTAGTAGCACACAAATACACAATTTTACTGTAACTGTTGGGAAAATCAAGGTTGTGAAGTAAAATGATTTTTTAAAATCCGCTGCCATAACATGTTCAACTTAAAAGTTAATGCAAATTTATAGGGGTGCCTGCGTGACTCGGTTGAGTGTCTGACGCTTGATTTTTGGCTTAGGCCCTGATCTCAAAATCCTGAGATCCTGAGATTGTGAGATAGAGCCCAGAGTTGGGCTCTGTGGGCAGCGGGGGTGGGGGGTGGGGGGGTGTCTGCTGGAGATTCCCTCCCTCTCCTGTGCTCTTCCCCCTTCATGAGCGCATGTGCACTCTCCCTCTCTTGCTAAAATGAATAAACAAAATCTTAAAAAAAAACGTTAATGCAAATTTATACACATCCAAATCCTTTTAAAAGTGAGAAAGTGAAGGTAAGTTGAATGCCCCACCTACCTGTCCTTGCTTAACTGTGGCAAAAGGAAAGCAACCCATTTCTCCCTCATCCACAGGACTAAAAAGTATGGCATTTCCTCCCACTACTTCTCATCTCTTCTAAGTATTCTCTTGAAGGGGATCAACTCTTAAAGCTTGACCTTTCCTAAATCCTCAGCACCACATTTCATTTTACCAGAGGATTAAGATCTACCCCCTTGTGCCCTCACTCCCAGCATACATGTCAGTATACTCAGTATACTTTATTCATTTTATCATTGAAAGTATAATCTTTTAATTATAAGCAAAAGTGTCACCCAATTTACTTCTGAAAAGGCCAAAAGACTTAGGAAGGAAAATGTCCTCCTCAAGGTAATTTGGTTTAAAGATACGTACTTAATGGTGCTGTGACATTTAAACAAAACATTTGTAATTCCAGGGTCTTAGGACTGAAAAAGGACATCTAGTTGCCTCTACACTGAATTTATGAAAGAAGCTCTTGAAATGATAGAAGACTTCTTTATAGTTGTTAAGTGCTTGGGCAAATTACATAGCCTAAATACAGTTCCCACAATAAAATGAGGATAACGGTGCCCATTCAATGGGGTTATTCAAGAGTTAAATGAGGCAAATGATTAAAAAGTATTAGGCATTTTTTAAAAATTAAATAAGTAAAAAGTAAAAAGCCTAACATGTAGCAAGTCATCAATAAATGTTATTGTCTTTCCCCTCTATTTAATCAAGAGAAAGAAACCATAAGTTGATTTAAACCTTGGCCCACGTGCGCACACCCATGCAAACCTCTGTATTACAAATGAATGATGAAGAGAGATGTGTATAAAGTGCATTTTAAATTTCTTAGGAAAAGCATATTAAGACATTCCTTATTCTAGTATTTTTTTTCAGTTTTAATTTTCAGGAGTGAGGGTTCCAAATTACAGACAGAAGTATTTATGATATTTGAAGGTAAATGCTCTTATCAACAAGACATAAATGTACGGTAACTTGGATAAACAAAAGTGAGTCCAACCTTAAAGCAGAAATATTCCACAATTTAAGCAGCCACGTTCATGAAATGTGAATCAGACTTCAAAAGTGCATACAACTTAGGAGGTCCAGAAATTAGGGAGCTCGCTTCCTCTTACATTTTAGCATGGGTGGGGCAACTTCTAGCCCATGGGCCAGATCTAGAATCTAATTTCATCAATGAATAGGGTGAAATTGCTGCTGGACCCCAAAGAGTCATTTTTATCACAGGGAATTCTCTGAATATTGCAGTTTATCCAGCATCTGTTTAATCCCTGAAGGTGTAAATATTAATCAAGAGCTGTGAACAATTAACTCGTGTCTGAACTTTTCAAAGGACAGTGAAAACCTGACTGTGATTCTAGATGAATCATTTAAACTTCTTTAGACTATAAAGGTTAAGAGTTTTGGCTAGGTGAAGTTACAGTTCAAAAGCAACACAACTTTACGAAGTTAATGGGTAATACTTAAGAGCCACAACGCCACTGACGAGGAAGGACACGGCTCCCACATAGACTGACCTGCCTTTCCCAGCCTCTCCCCTTCCTGTCTCACTATCCTGTCTTATTCCTTCTCTTGCCTTTTCACTCATCTGTCTTCCTCTCTACCAGACTGTTCTACTTTTCTTAATCAGAATCTTCCTGAAGTCTTTTCTCCATTTCTACCACTTCTCCATTTTCTATTGTATGCACTACTTATACCACTGAATTATTTAAAAGAACTTGTACTCATTGGCTAAAGAGTTGTATGTGCCCTCTTAATATTTTAGAGCTGTATTTTACATTTCTCCATGGGGAAAAAGGAATACGTCAAGTCACTTCTTCACACGTGCTCCAGAGCCAAAAAGAAAAAAAAATTTTGACGCAAAAACTTTCTTTAATCCTAATCCATAGGTCTCTGGGTACACTGCTTGAAAATTTTACATTATAATATTTTATGACAAAATGTTAACCCCATCAACTGTAAAGTTATAATGAATGCTACAGGATTTGATTAGCAGTAGGAGCTATGCATGGCATTGTTAGTGAGTTGAACAGAAAGATCTTCTTCCTAAAATATTCTGCTTAGAAATGGTTTAATTTGGGGTCTGAACTTAAGTGACATATCTGTAGCAAGAGAATGACAACAGCTTAGTTCCCTGGTACTTTCCTTTGAAGTTGCCAATGACTCCCTTTACTTTAAAAGTACTTACTACCGCTCACCAAAGCGGCAGTTCAAAAGCAGTGTGTGGACAATTGTACCACACACTGGAAGGTTATACTTACAGATATAAACCCCGATTTTATTCTATTTTTAAAAACTTTTTAAAAAAGATTTTATTTATTCATGAGAGAGACAGAGAGAGGCAGAAGCACAGGCAGAGGGAGAAGCAGGCTCCATGCAGGGAGCCCGACGTGGGACTTGATACCGGGTCTCCAGGATCACGCCCTGAGCCAAAGGCAGATGCTCAACCGCTGAGCCACCCAGGCATCCCTAAACCCTCATTTTAAATGGGGGGGGGAGAAATTCCTGTGGATACAAACTTGTCCAGTGGTTAGGAAAAATTCTACTGAAAATCTGGCTTATTTTTTGGCACAAAACCCAAGTTATGAATTGCCCACAGTCACCACACTGTTGAAACTAGCATTCTCTACAACAGGAACAGATTACATGGTCTTCTACCAAAAAAATCAAACCATCTCAACATAGTATGGCCATTAAAAGCCATTTAGCTCTTCCCTCTGGCTGATAAAGGAAATACATTTAGCTCGAACGTAATTTTTCTTACCGTTAAAAGATACCGTAGGAAGGCATGATCGGGGACACAGGTAGACAGACAAGCAAGATGTGAGCCCAGAGAGAAAACCGTCCCTTAAAAAGGCATCATCTTCCAACCCAAGTGAGGGGTCTTTTTTGGACAGCCATTTTGGACAAGCTCTGGCCTCTCGTTAAATGTGACATACTGAGTCAGAGGCAGACGTCTTTCTGTGGTTATTCGCTTCCTGTCTGATTAATTTGTTGTTTGTTCCTTCCTCCTTTGCTGCAGTAAAAAGAAACTAGATTGGCTTTACTTAAGAAGCCAGCCAGGAAAAAAAAAAAAGAGCCTAAATTAAAAAAATTAAATGTTTCTCTTTTCCACAAGGTGTAACATATGCGTCTGGCAGAGTGATAAGAGGAGATCAGGATGGCCATCCAGTTGGCAGGTCAACGTTATTCTAGATACCTGCACAGAAATAATTGTTCAGAGAACCTGAGATTCCTTCAGGAAAATACCACTTGAAAGTATCACTCTCAATATTGACTATACCATTCAGTGTTAAGGAAAAGAGTCGCCCAAGCACTAGAAGCTCTCAGCTACACCAATAATTAGGGTAGTGATTCTTCCTCATGCACAGAGCATTCAAGTGTGTGGAGAGAAAGTCGCAGATGCAGGTGAAGAGAGCGGGTCAGGTGTATGAAGGCAAATGAGGTTTGAAATGTGGTTTGGGTGCCCAAGTCAGGAATAATGCACAGCTCACATCGTATGAAGATCCAGAGCTTTCTGTGCCACGATGTTTTGTTTCTGCCCTCCACACTTAACAGGTTAACAATGACTCTCCCAGAAGATGCTTGACACAAGCACAGAAATAATGAGTGCCGGAGGAGGAAAGGCAGATTTCTCATTATTAAAGAACTCTAATAAATGGGTAGGCGACGGACTACATGCAGAAAACCTTGAGTTACGTACAAATATCCTGAAAATGCTCATAGTTTTTCTCTTGAGCCATCTAAAAGGTTCAGACTTACCATCTGCAACACATAGCATGTAACTGAGAGGAAAAACTTCGAGAACAAAAAAGTATCGTTGGAAGAATGAAAAACGAAGGCACATTTCAGAAACTACCTTCATTGTAAAATTAGAAACTTTGGGTCCTGATTCTGCTGGGTTCAGAAGGAAAAGCACGAGAAGCCCACCAGTTGCCTACTATTCCCACCCCTGTAAAATGACAGGACTGGGGAGACCGGTGGTTCTCAATTCCAGAGGTGGCTGGAAATGCGTGGACTCATTTGTGGTTGGGGATAGGGAGCGGTGGGCTGGGATGGGGGGTGCTGCAGGGTCCAGGAGTGAAGCCAGGAACGTGGAATTTCCTATGATGCGTTGGATATTCTCACCCAAAATACCGACAGCACGCCTACTGAGGGAGAGTTAAGGTCTAAGGCTCATTCAGGCTCTAAATTCTTTGAGATATGAATCAAGCTGCACGAGTAAAGTTTTATGATGCAGGGCCTTGGCAAAATTCCTGGATGCAGAGCACCGAGGGATTAGGAATGGAGAGTCCTCCACTTTGCTTGGAGCCATGTGACATGCAGGTGTGGGGCACGAGACAGAAGCGGAGGCCTGCTGTTAGCATCTCCTTCCCCCTCCACTAGCCTCGGGAAAATAGAAAACCTGGTCAACTACCAAGTGAATGCCCAAGTGAGCCTTTGGGGAAGTCTCACTATAGTCAGGTCTAAAAAGGGAACATGGGCAATATGATGATTTCTCTAAGTATTTTCTGAGTTATTTTGAAGGCCTCTGAGTATGGCTGCAAACACACGCACGCACACAAATACACCCTCACCGTACAGTGCATGTGCAGTACCTGTCCATTCCCAACCATCAGGGATGGCTCAATCAGGAGGAGAATTGCTTAGAAGGCTGTAGCCCCCAAGACATACAAGGGGGTAGTTTGTCGAGAGTTTGGGTCTATTTTCACCTTTACTGGAAACATAAAAATACAGCCGACTTTGGACACATATATGAGGTGTCTACTTGCCACCACTGGACATAAATCAGATAATGTTCCTCCCCTGCTTAAAATCCCCAGTGGTGGGATGCCTGGGTGGCTCAGCGGTTTGGCGCCTGCCTTCAGCCCAGGGCCTGATCCTGGAGACCCGGGACTGAGTCCCACATCAAGCTCCCTGCATGGAGCCTGCTTCTCCCTCGGCCTGGGTCTCTGCCTCTGCCCCCCCCCCCTCTCTCTGTGTCTCTCATGAATAAGTAAGTAAAATATTAAAAAAAAATCCCCAGTGGTTTCTCATTCCACTTAAAAGGTCTAAACTGTGCCAGGAGCCCACAAGAACCCACAACATCTGGCTCCGCCCTAGCCCTCTGACCTCATCTCAAGTAACATCCCTTCTTGGTAATTTACCTTCCAACCCTTTCTGTTCCTTAAATGCATCCAACCCATTTGCATCTCGGGGCCTTACACTTGTAAGCCCTCCCACACGACACTTATCTGGTTCCTTCTCATTCTTCACTTGTCAGCAAAAAGGCCCCCCCTTGTGCCCCATCTCTGTGCCTGTTCTCTTTTACGCACAGCACATGTCACCACTCGACATCCTTTTCATCTACTGAACTGTTTGTGTACTTGTGCGTCCCCGCTAGAATTCAAGCTCCGTGAGGACGGGGACCTTCTTTCCCGCTGTCGTTTCAGCATTGAGAACAGCCTGTGACACTCAGTAGGTGCTCAATAAATACGCTGAATGGAAAAGAAAATCAGTATCTCCTAAAAACTCTTCCATAATATACTATTCCCTTAAAAGCTTAAGATTGTTTCCTCTTGGGGTGCTTGGGTGGCTCAGCTGGTTAGGCTTCCGACTCCTGGTTTCAGCTCAGGTTGTGATCTGAGCGTCACGAGATGGAGTCCTGTGTTGCGTTTAGTCAAGAGTCTGCTTGAGATTCTCTCTTTCCCCTTCGGCCCCTCCCTCTGCTTGTGGGCACACGGTCTCTCTCTCTCTCAAAATAAATAAATAAAAACTTAAAAAAAAAAAGGTTGTTTCCTCTCAAATAGTGAATAAGGAATGCAAAGGTTAGACTTGAACCCTCTTCTCGGGAAAGTTTAAGTGGAAGGGAACTTTTCCAGAGGAAGGATGGCACAGATCAGCAGGCAAGCCCATTAGCCGCCAGTGGGGCTTGGCAGACCAATCTGAGCTTACTGGGAGAGTAACACAGTGATCAATAAGCTCCTGGACCAATCAGGTAGAGAATCCTCCGTATTCATGTACATAAATACCAAACCGAGAGCGTGTTGGTATAAAACAGCAGCACAATTCTCACCAGTCTGGGAAAAGTGGTAAAGGATCACAGCCTACGACCCTCCTGTGGTGACCCCAACTCAACATAGACGGAATCAGGGCAACAGCAACACGTGTAAAACATGAGATTTGTTTGCTTAGGATTCTGGTTTTCCAGGTTGTGTTTCCATGACTACCTGTCCTGGTTGTAGACAGATGTTTTAGAATACAGTTTCCTCAATTCTAACACACCTCCAATAGCAAAATGCCCTCCTGTGCAGCTTTTTTAGGGGGGGAAGAGAAATACATGCATTTATGGTACGAGGAAATCTACTTTCAAAGCGTTAAATGTGGGGATTATGTAATTTAAAAGAGCGGAAACAAAGTAATTTCCCTCTTCCCCACAAAATAATCAGTAGTTACACAGAGGTTTGGTCACTTAAAAATAATCTCAGAAAGGGGTGCCTGGGTGGCTCAGTCAGTTGGGCGGCTGACTCCTGATTTCAGCTCAGGTCATGAACTTGGGTTGTAGAATCAAGCCCCAGGTCGGGCTCTGCACTTAGTGGGGTGTCTGTGGAGGTTCTCTCTCCCTCTCCCTTGCGCTCTCTCTCTTTTCTCTCTCTCTCACACAATTAGTAACCTCGGCAATACACAGAAATTGAAAACAATGTGTACTATGCAATGCCCTGTTCGTATAAACCGGTATCATCCTATTTGGGGAAATATCAGCAATATCTGTTTGTTTTGGCAGCTCAGTATGAGTTCATCCTACTTACGATGACGCCCTTCAGTTTCTGTTTGCAGCCCCATCTCTCCCTCACGCTCAGACCTGTGGGTCCAGAGCCTTGTGTTCCCACTGCAGATACAGGAAGAGCATGTGATTCAGGGCTGGCTAATCAGAGTCTTGCATTCATTTGGCCCCACAGACTTTTTGAGTGACAGCCTGTGAACTCATTAGAACCAAGGAAACTTGCAGCCTGAGGCAAGGATATTTCCGCCAGATGGGTTGGCATGGGACCTCTGAGGATAAGGGGCTGAAATGCCCGCACTCATCCTCTGACCCCATGGGGTCTGAAACTGAAATCAACAAAGTAGGGAGTCAAAGGTGGAGAAAAACCAGTGACCAACCTTGTTGGCTGAATCCATCTGTACCTGAGGCCGGCTCTATCTCTGGACTTCTAATTTCCATTAAGAAACAAATTCTCCACGTTGTGTGAGCTGGTATAGTCAGGTTTTCTATCACTGGCAATGCAAACACTCTTGGGACACAGAAATCCGTCCTAGAAGTGAGTGCTGAATGTGCCTAACCCTAAAATGTCCAAGTGACTGATTTAAGGTCAAGTGAAGGCTAGTGCAGGATAGGAAACTAGAGCCCTTGTTATGTGATGACAACACTGCTGCTTCTGCTGCCACCTACTGAATCCTTGGCCTAATAAATCCATGGTCCTACAGATGATGGTGCACCATCATTTTTTAAAAGATTTTATTTATTTATTCATGAGAGACAGAGAGAGAGGGGGAGAGGGGCAGAGACACAGGCAGAGGGAGAAGCAGGCTCCATGAAGGGGATGTGGGACTCGATCCTGGGACTCCAGGATCACGCCTTGGGCCAAAGGTAGGCACTAAACTGCTAAGCCACCCAGGGACACCCCCCCCCTTTTTAAAGTTCTTATTTATTTATTAATGAGAGACCCAGAGAGAGAGAGAGAGAGAGAGAGAGAGAGAGAGAGAGAGGAAGAGACACAGGCAGAGGGAGAAGCAGGCTCCATGCAGGGAGCCCGAAGGATGGTGCACCATCATTAAAGGATCTGGAGCAAGCATTTAGAATGTTGGCATGGGTTGGCTAGTTCTTGAGGCCTTCAGTAAGAACTACAGAGAAGAGATAATTTGGGCTGAAACTGACTGGAAGCAGAGAGA